CGAAGAGAAGTCTAATCGGCACGATGTTTGGGTCTTTTTTGAGGCACTGCGTTAACTCCTGCTGTGTTTGTATCAAAGTTTTCTTTGGCAAAACTTTGCTTTGACGAGAATTGGATAATTTGCGATAAGCATAAAATATAGGCTAGAGGAGGTGTGAGTCTTCAACATTGAGGTCGCAAAAACGATATCTCATGCTAGATAACTTAGTAGATGTTGGCAGAATATAGCAAGACTCTTAGACATGAGAGCTGAACGTCAAAATATGAAAAATTTCATTTAAATGATTTTATATCTGAATATCTAATGAATCTTTATTAGCAAAATGTTATTTAATATAATTGGAACAAAAAAGTGCTTCCCTTCGAAAACTGTCTTACCGGTTTATTTCAAAATAAAAGTTTTCTAAACTTTTTATAAACCTTCCGTTTAATAATGCCAGTCAGATGTTTTACTTTTTCAGATACCTAAATCAACATCCAGAAAGTACTAGCCTTTATCCAAAATTGAAAAATATCGATGGGTCCACTGTTGATGTATCGTGCAATAATCCTGGATTTGAAACTGTAGCTGCAAATTATCTTAAGGTGATCTTCATTCCATTTATTCTTACGGTAATGCCTTACCATTCTAAGAAGAGCTGGAGGGTAAGTTTTCACACGAACTCCGTTTTTACGAGAAATCGTCGAGTGTTTCCCACAGTAGTGAATCTAAATAGACAAACTTTGACTTGAGCACGTAATTAAAGGTTCTAGGTATTTGATGATGTAATAACGGCAGTGGAAGAAAAACCTGGAGATGTACAACCAGCCTGCGACCGATTAGTAGCTGTCGGGAAAATGCATCGAACAAAGGTTAGGTTTCATAGCTTTTGCTCAGCTTTTTAATCAAATTTCTGAGTCTCACTTACGCTATTTATCTTATATTTAACGACTAAAAACGTCATACTGTAATTCAACAATATGTCATTATAATAATGTTTATAATAAAAATAATGTTTTCAATAAATGTAAGCATAACTCGTTGACATGCGACCAGCGCTCTTTTTCACTTTAGTTTTCATTGCGTACTAGTTTTATTAAAATATAAATCACCTGTTTATCTGTAGGATACAATAAAAATCTATAAAAGTACTAAATGGAGCCACACAAGCGATCT